AGAGTTGAAAAGTCAAAACTGTCAACAGAATCAAAGGGACCATCAAAAGCACGTAATTTATCTAAAACATCCAAAGAATTTTTTACACTCCAAAAATAGTTAATTCCACTATTTTCATATATTTTATTACAAAAGTTAATGATAAGTTCTTAGATAGTAGTTAAGGAACTAGTTAAAAGCACTGAAAGGTTAGTTGTAGAACACTTACTAGAGGCCGAGATGAAACGATATTTTACTGGTTTTTTTTTGTGTAGTTTAGGCGTATTATGTACTCTTTTATTTATTTCTGAATTATTTTCAAAATGTGATATTCGAATATCCACAACATTCATGCATTTATTTAAATAAGAACCAAGAGATTTTTTATCAGATTTTTTCCGTTTACACCAATTTTTACAATACGATGAAAGAGCGTCTTTTGTGACCTGACGACACTGTTTCCAATCTATTTTAGGTGGAGGACGATATTTTGGTCCTTTTTTCAAAAAGTTTTTAACCTCTCGGTCTTGAACGATATTGAGGTCCCCCGTCGTAATAACATGGCCATAGTGATCATATCTAAAATTCGACTATTCACAGTTTCAAGTTAGAGGAGTATTATATTCTACATTGACGTCTGATGTTACTGATATATAATTAAAAATTAAACTTTTGCTGGGTTTTTTGTATGTATACGAAATAATAGGTGGTTCTGTGTTATCAAAATAGGGAGGTATACAGTTTTGAATGGTAGAGTCATTAAATATACTCGATAAGTTGATGAAATCAATAACTCTGTTAATATATTTAATTTTCAGAAAGTGCCGTTTATGATCTTCAGGTTTATCGATACGCGGGAACAGCCTATGGTGGCAAAAAGCTGAATTATACGCGAATATTCATAGATTGGACTGAAGAACGAGATTGTGTCACACTCCTTGAAAATATCATGTGTAATTTACTAATTGGTATTTGACCCAGTTTACATAATAATTGATGCCTACCATTGTTTTTAAATATAGATAGGAGATCATCAAGTGTATAGTATGCTCTTTATGCCCCATGTAGAGCATTTATTGGCATTTAATATTAGATCTTCTGCTGCAAATATACATTTATCAATTAAAAAGTCCAATACTGCCGGAGTCATGCATGTATTATTTAATATTCATACGTACTTTCATGTTTTTACAACAATCTCAAGGCGAAAGGCGAATAATTGTCACTATGAGACTTTCCTTTCAAGATTGTTGTAAAACATGAAAGCACTTGTTAATATTAATTGATATGTGCATGATTCGGCAGTATTGGACTTTTTTTTTAATTTTCTTTACTCAAGACTTTTAACAATTCGATATATGTTATCATTAATAGCTGACAAAGTATATAGTGTATTATGCAGTTGAAACAGTGACTGTCTACATAGAAGTCCCAGTTTACAGATACTTCAAATACTTAGCAATCTGCATCCTACGCCTATACGAAATACAACGGGTTAATAATTAACTTTGAAAAATTAACCAACAATTTATTTCTAGCTTAAATTCGACTATCCACAAGGGTTTTAGTTTTTGAAAGTTTACCAACCATCGTCGCAAACAGCCGAGTAATGTTCCGATTGTGAGAAGGTGCAAAATGGGGAACAGTGTGGTTTTACAAGTCCGTGATTTAAGATTCCATGCTAGTGTAGTAACCGGCCCACTTTTAACCTTCAAGACTCTAAATGGAAGTCATTTCAAATACGTTTTCTTGTCACTTAGGCTTTCAAAAATATATGTGTGTGTGTGTCATGATATTAGTGCACTTTTTTGTGGGAATTTAAACAGCCTTTTGGACTGTTTTATGCGCGTTGTGTTGTCTTTAATGCGGTTCAGCTTAAAGATGAGAACTACCCATCCAGTGTCTGTACATTCAAAGGTTTGATATCTTACATGATATCTCCTCTTATTTCTGGTTTATTCATCTTGATGTTTACGGTGTGTTTGAAAGGAGGCATAGCACAACCATTGTCCCTGTTATGACTGTCACTGTTACGGGGAGGGTTGAGCGGTCACAAACATGTTAAACCCCGCCATATTCTTATGTGCTGGTCCTAAGTCAGGAATCTGTTATTCAGTTGTTGTCGTTTATTGCTGTCTTTCATATTTGTTTTTCGTTTATAATTTGTTCTCATACATCAGGCCGTTGGTTTTTTCCTTTGAATTGTTTCACATTTTGTTAGTGTCTTTTATAGCAGACTGCAAGCGTTATTGTTTTGCTTATTGTTGAGGGACGTACGGTGACACATATAAAAATATCAAGATGTGGTAGGACTGTCAATGAGACATTTTTCCACCAGAAAACAAATGACGTAAAAGTTGGCAACTATAGCTCACCGTAGGGCAAATGAGCAAATTATAAAAGGCCCCAACAAGTCAGATGTAAAACAATTCAAACGAGAAAACTATAATGGCCTGGTTTATGTACAAAACAATAAACGAAAAACAAATATGATATACAGCAACAAACGAAAACCACTGAATTACAGGCTCTTAACTTGGTACTTGCAAATACAGAATATGGCTGCGGTCCCAACTCCCCTAACCTCGGACAGTTGTGTAACAGCAAAACATAAGAACAAACTGTAAAAATCAATTGAAAATGGTTTGACTCATCAGATCGATACAAAGCACAACAAAAAAATAACAATTTGATTAAAATATAGATCATGTGTCCAAGCTTTGCTTACAAGGATATGAAAACACTCCGTTTAAAGACCTTTCGGGATCCTCTGGTTTGGTCGGAATAATACACACCTTCAAAAAATTAAAGGCTGATCATATTTCCGTGGCTGATCAGATTGAGCAAATAACAAAAAAGGCTAACGTCACAAAATACCAATCTGAGAGTACTCGCAGTTACTGAAAGAAAGTTCAAAGCCAATAACAACTGATACAAAGTGTACAAGACAAAATATCAATCATTACACATCCAACGGATTTAGTAGAAAACGTCAAAACTTTCAGAAAACAAGAGTGCACACGCTGAAATGTCTCGCTTCTTTACTTATCATTGATATAATGTTGATAGTTCTAAATATAAAGCTTTACTACAACTATCACATAAACTTAACATGATCCAAGAAAATGAGGTCAAGGTCATATAAACCAAACAAGAAATACATGTACACCTTACAACCATTCAATACACTAAATATAGTTGACCTATTGCTTAAAGCTTCTAAGATACAGACTTAACCAAGAAAACTAAACATTGACTAATGAACCATGAAATCAAAATGAGGTCAAGGTCAGACGAACCATGCCAGGCAGACATGTACAGCTTGAATCCTTCCATACAACAAATATAGTTGACCTATTGCTTATAGTAATAGAAAAACAGACCAAAACACAAAAACTAAACACTGAGCTATGAACCGTGAAAATGAGGTCAAGGTCAAATAAAACCGGCCAGACTGACATGTACATCCTAAAATATTTTCATACACCAAATATAGTTGACCTATTGCATATAGTATTAGAAAAAAAGACCAAAACTCAAAAATTTAACATTGATCACTGAACCATGAAAATGAGGTCAAGGTCAGAAGACACCTACCAGCTAGACATGTACACCTTACAATCATTCCATACACCAAATATAGTAGACCTATTGCATACAGTATAAGAAAAACAGACCAAAACACAAAAACTTAACTATAACCACTGAACCATGAAAATGAGGTCAAGGTCAGATGACATCTGCCAGTTGGACATGTACACCTTACAGTCCTTCCATACACCGAATATGCTAGACCTATTGCTTCTTTTATCTGAGATATGGACTTGACCACCAAAACTTAACCTTGTTCACTGATCCATGAAATGAGGTCGAGGTCAAGTGAAAACTGTCTGACGGGCATGAGAACCTTGCAAGGTACGCGCATACCAAATATAGTTATCTTATTACTCATTATACGAGAGAAATTAACATTACAAAAAATCTTAACTTTTTTTTCAAGTAGTCACTGAACCATGAAAATGAGGTCATGGACAATGGACATGTGACAGTCGGAAACTTCGTAACATAAGGCATCTATATACAAAGTATGAAGCATCCAGGTCTTCCACCTTCTAAAATACAAAGCTTTTAAGAAGTTAGCTAACGCCGCCGCCGCTGGATCACTATCCCTATGTCGAGCTTTTTGCGACAAAAGTCGCAGGCTCGACAAAAAAAACATGAACATACGCAAGGCTAAAATATAGGTATCAGCAGAATATGACCGTAAGTGTTAATAGCTGTATAGCAATATATATATTAATTTGATATGTTTTACTCTATTGATAACACAATCAATGTACCGAAACGTACAAATATTCAAAGAACTTTATGTTAAATTCATGACCTTTAAAATAATTTTATCAAAAATATCAATAAGTTTACACATGGATTGTATTTAAATATACGGGCTCTATAAACACCATCACCGTAAAAATTAGGATGTGATATTCGGTTTGTTAATAAGATTTCTTTGGGTACAGCCAAACTTCCAAACAAATCTTTGTATCTATAAAAAAATCTGGGAAATGTTTTAAGAAATTTTTGGTAGCGAAATCCCTACCTATTATAAGAGATACATAGATTACATTCATGATTGAAATCTATAACGTCACTACAGACAAGGTCTTTAAACATATATAATTTAAAATTAATATAAATATATTGCTATATTGGAAACTGAAGAAAAAAATCAATTCCACGGCTACTTATGTTTAGTCATTTTGTCAAATTTTGTTCCATGACTATGTACTAAGCTGATGGATATTTTTGTTGACACGAGCCTACGTATGTAACATGCAGACTTGTAATTTTTTTTATTTCCGCGTGTGGGGGAGAGACTCAATACCCCTTCAGTAATTGAAGATTCGAAAACACAAACCAGGTTGAAAGGAATCTTCTATAGAAGTTAGTCCCCTTACAAAACTCGATAAGTCTAAATAAAAAGTCGTTCGAACATACAGATGGTATTTATTAAAACGGAGAGAAATATGTATGAATAAATCAAAGTAGTTGCATGAGGAATGATTTTAGTTTATATTATGTGTTGTGTGATAAATTAAGTTTACTCCATGTAAGTCATATATCTCCAACTATTCTTCATTGTTGATAATAACACGTTCTGCATTCATTACACCTGTAAAGAAAACAGAATACTTATAGTATTCAAAGTATATATGCAGTTAGGATTAGAGTTAAGATATGTTTGACTTTCGCTAGGAAATTCATCCAATCTTTTATACTCCGTTTGGAGAACTGACGGCTTTAAGTACAAACTATTTTTATGTTCCTGTAAAATTTGACTTCAAAATTTACCATAAAACCTCGGTGATTGTAGTCGTTAAGAAGTCCTTTGTCCGACAAAAATGATAAAATTCAAACGAAATACTTGTGTTCGATGTTGTTTGTACGTTATTTTATAGGATAAGTCGGTTGTTGGTGAAAGGTACGGCCTGTGTAATGTCTAATATTTGGGCTTTTCACGTAATATTTTTGTGCAATATACAAAGTGCATTGTGCAATGTACAATAAATGATGGCTCCTGTATACATTCTTGCAAAGACACATATAACAATAATCGATGAATTTGAATGGTACGATGTACTAGTATTTACTATATTTCTTTCTTGGAGTATCTGATTTTAGGCATTTTATAGAAGTATCCATGGTTACATAAATTTGTTGCAGTCAGTTTAATATTAATTTAAGTGGGCATACCTTTTAGATGCCATGTGTTGTCATCGTATTTTTTGTTTGGTTTGTTGTTTTTTATTTTGTTTGTTTCCAAAATTTTTATTTATATACCGTTTTGGCATTAGTTCAAACAGCCTTTACCAATTATTCGGCCAAACCTTTTGAGTTTTCATACGTGATCATGTATTTGATTTTATTTCTTGTATAGGAAGTATAGGAAAGGTTTTCAAATTTGTTTGTCGGTGTGGTCCCTTACATTTGGCCATATATGAAGCTAATAGCAATTAGTGTTTAACGTCCTTCTAAAAATGTAAAGTAACGACAGCCATTATGTTAACGACAACCAGCATTTAAATTCTCCCTTATAAATTCGTCCGAATTTAAATATTTCTAATCTATCTACATGGCTAAATGAGAGGCAAGTCAAAATGTAGGCTTGGTTTGCTCGCGGTTTGCTCGCAGTAACTTTTATTTTCTGTGCGATGCAACATTTAATAAAGATTACAAAAAACATTACAAACATCCCCAAACAAACACACACCTAGCTATTCTACACTAAATCAATATAATATAATGTAAATAATATACTATGCAGAACGTGTTATACTTAGAAGTTACTGTGAGCACCTCGACACATACTATACACGTATCGGACTCATATATGACTATAGAACCCCACCCGCAATACCACCTAAGAAATACCCATGCAGTACTAACCAAAGACTTATAATTAGATACTAATCAAACTATGTCTACAAACTAGTTCCACAGTTACTAAAGATAGAAATAGAAAAGGGAAAATCCAAATATAACGGAATAGAAATACATTGTGTCTCCATACTAAAAATGTAAAGTAACGACAGTCATGTTGGCTGCTTTGTGTCACCATTAGATACTAAAAATGTAAAGTAACGACAGTCATGTTGGCTGACCTGTTTCACCATTATATACTATTCAACATACACATACTATAGAAATCATTCAAACCAATCAAATTCAAACTACGAATGCCAAGTAAGGACAGTGACCAAATGGATATTTAGTGGACGTAATTAAAGGCGTTGAACTAGAGTATAATGGGATATATAGTGAGGACTATGAGAAGAAAGCGGTTATAGGCTGTATGCTACAGCTTTCTTGTTTAAGCTACCTTTTCTCCATGTTGGATTACATTACCTTGAACATTTTTCTCTCGATTTTAAACAGCTTTCCATGAAGTTGCATGATCTGTATTACATGGTCCTACCACACGTTTTCGCCTTGAACAGATATTTAATATATATATCAAATAGATGTATATCAATGAAAACATGTGCCCAAAAAATCTGTTGATATATGTAAATTACGTACCGGTAGTTTCGCGAATTAATTATGTTTTGAGCGAGATCTCGATTCAAGGGTGATATCGGTGTCACGAAAGAGTTAGTTTTTAGATCGGATGACCGTGAGGGCATTCCGGTGTATTGCTGTCGCCTAGATTTCCATTACGTTACTTTCGTGTTGGGATTGTAACCGATCTATAAACATGATAAATATACGCGGACATTATCGACTGCAAAATGACATTCCTTATCGCTTGTTATAAATTCATTTTTTCAATGGATACACCTAAAAAAAAATTTTTTAGAACATAAATTCATAATATGAAAATGTTTTGTCGTTAGACATATATGTATAAGTAAAAAATCTTTAATATCTATGCACACGTACAGACAATGTGTGTTAACGCATGCGGAAGAATATCTCAAGAACGTTTGCAATCTCCCATGCAGAGTTATCGGCCCTCGCTCTCTCTCAAGGACCGATAACTCTGCATGGGAGATTGAAAGTTTGGCGGGAAAATTTGAATGCCTTCTCAAATCCAATCTATTAGAAAAATCGAATTGTTACAGAAGAGAGTCCACCATGCACTTGCACTGCACTATTATTAATATAGTAGAATAGAATGATATACAAATGGATGAAAATTATATATACATGTAACTGTAATATACAAATATTAATATAATATATAACAACAAACCAGAGTATACTGATTTGTATCACTTCAATATCATATTTATTACGGTGAGGTTAAATTCCCTGTCATTTATTTATCATCCACGCACGAACTTGTCTAAGAAAAAAAATTATATCTCTACATTAACCTCACTTTCAGGTATTGAGATGTGATTTTTTGTTTTTCTGAGACAAGTGCTTGTGACCATCCACAAGAACTTGCAGTCATCCGATGTTCAGTACTTCAGTACTTTGATTTAGCATTTACGGATGCAAAGTTGAATTTTATACAAGTTTAATTTGATTGTTATGTGTTTGCTTAACGCCAGGACGAGAACCAATGAACAATAATGTTATAGATAGGTTATGTATAATGGGTCGACCCGGAGGATGAGCACGGATTCCGACTGCAACTCAGTGGAAAAAGAGAGCATGTTTGAGACCGACAACAATTTTTCTTTGCAAAAGGTCCCCTTTGTCCCTTGCAAGAGGTGTCGTGATGAAGGCATGACACTTTTTCCCTACACGAGGCATACTATTCAACGCTATGGCAAGCCGTTCTCGTCAAAACTATGTTTGAACCCTTTTTTTTCGAAAAACTGACACACTGAGAATTAAAAAAACCACACTGAGATTTAAAAACCGAAAATAACACACTGAGAAATCGAAATTACACACTGAGATTTTAAAATTACACACTGAGATTTTAAAATTACACACTGAGATTTTAGAATTACACACTGAGATTTAAAAGAATGAAAAACACTTACTGAGAATTTAAAATTTAATTACACACTGAAATTTTAAAAAGACGCACTGAGATGAAATAAATTGAAAAAACACCCGGCATACTGAGAATTGTTAATTGCACACTGAGATTTCAAAAATACACACTGAGATTAATATGCACATTACTAATGAATATTCACGGCATGAGCCTGATGAATAATTCAACAGATTAATATCTTGGTCTGAGTCTCCCGAACTCTCGTCATTATAATGAAATGCGGTTCCTCCAACCAACATTCGTAATAAATTTCAAGACTTAACATCGTTTTTTGCTAACTCACATTCATACGTTTGTTGCCTATCATTCAGATTATTTCTAACAGTGTATCGGGGTTTTTTGCTTAAAACTGTTTAAGCATGGGTCCCTTTTCAAAAGTCTTTCAATTGTTACCCTGATTTCGCAAGGTAATCTCTTATATTTTTGTTACGTTTATATGCTATATAGGCACTTGGGTAAAAATTTCGCTGCCTGCATGTTTGTCTTTTTGCAGATCGTTCCAATGTTTTCTTCTAATTTTAATAAAGTTTTCACCATTTGGTTATATTTTGTAATGAGAGTAAGTGGGTATTTTTCTTGTTCTATTGGTCTTAATAAGGTTATTACATCGCGATGACCGTGAGGGCATTCCGGTGTATTGTTGCCGACGAGATTTCTACAAGTTACATAACTTTCATGTTTGACTGGTAACCGATCTATAAATACGCGGACATTACCAAGTGCAAAATAACATTCCTTATCGTTTGTTATAAATTCGTTTCTTAAATGAATACTCATAAAATATTTTTGTTTCGAACATAAATTAATAATATTAAAATGTTTTGTCGTTAGAAATATATATACAAGTAAAAAATCATTGATAATATCTTTGCACACGTACAGAAAAATTGTGTTAACGCATGCGGAAGAATATCTTAAGAACGTTTTGCGGGAAAATATGAATGCCTGCTTAAATCCAATCTATTAGAAAAATCATCGGCATATTATTACAGAAGAGTGTCCACCATGCACTTGCACTGCACTATTATTAGAATAGTAAAATAGAATGATATAAAAATGGATGAAAATTATATTTAATACATGTAACCGTTATATAAAAACATTAATATAATATATAACAACAAACCAGAGTATACTGATTTGTATCACTAAAATATTATAGTTATTACGCTGACGTTGAGTTCCCTGTCATTTATTCATTATCCACGCACGAATTTGTCTAAGAAAAAAATATATCTCTGCACATTAACCTCACTTTCAGGTATACAGATGTGATTTTTTTTTTCTGAGACAAGTGCTTGTGACCATCCACAAGAACCTGCGGTCATCCGATGTTCAGTACTTCAGTACTTTGATTTTTATATACGTTGTATATCTAATGTTTTTTTATAAAACATTTGGCGCCAAATTGAAGGACTAACGAGTTCTGTCCCCTAGTTGTTTTAAGCTTGTGATTCAGATTAAGTATGTTAATGCAGTAGATATGTGCGCATAAAAATTGCGCACAAATCTCGGTGTGTAATTTTAAATTCTCACTGTGTAATTTCAAATTCTCAGTGAGTGTTTTTCAGTTTATTTCATCTCAGTGTGTAATTTTCAGTGGTAATTTTCAATTCTCGATGTGTAATTTTCAATTCTCAGTGTGTGTATTTCTTTTTTTTTGTAATCTCAGTGCGTCTTTATGAAATCTCAGTGTGTAATTTTTAATTTTCAGTGTGTGTTTTTAGGTTTTTTAATCCCAGTGTGTTTTGTTTTAATTCTCAGTGTGTAAATTTTTTGAAAAATGGTTTAAACATAGTTTTGACGAGAACGTGTTGCCATACAACGCCCACATTTTGACAGGACGTGGCTACATCCCTAGTAGATAAACGGTCATGATACCCGGCTCTCTTAAGCATCGGTTTTACTGTCGGAAGGGAGAAGTCTAGAAATTAGCATATTTTCAAAATTTAATGTGTAAATTGGGCTATTAAAATAAACAGATAACATTATATAATTTCTCAGTAGTATGAGGTGACAGTAGTGTGATAACCGTGGGCAAATGCTCATTCGTGAAAAAGGATTGTCATCAAACAATTATACTTTACAGTGCTCTTTTTTTCTGCGAAACACACAGATTAGCTGTTAACTTTGTGTATTCGAGCTAAAGTTATTGTTATAGGTCTAAAATAGTTCATACATCGCCTAAAAAGTGTTTAAACTTACCAGGCATTGGCAACAGAATACTCCAAACAAAAAAGAATAAATAGCTAGGGCCTAAAATGAAAGCCAAACATTTGTATATACATATTTTCTCTTTGTGCACGAATCAGAAAACGAAAACTTCATAGCGATTTTAAAATGGTTAAAGTTAAAGAAAAGTTCGCAGACATACCTTTTTTTTTAAAATTTACGACCAAACGGTAAATCCGAAAATTACAAGTACCTCAATAATCCTATTGTTTTACCTTTTTATTCTCATAAAAAAAATAAGATATGTGAGCACTAAATATTTTTAGTTCAGTTCATTCACCGCAAACAAACATTTCAAATCTACCGGATGTACCAAATCGGATTAAATATATCTCTAAAATTTACATTAATTGCTGATTTGAGCTTCCTCTTTTTATGCAACGTTAATGTTTATACATTGATGGAATACAAATTTACTAATAAACTCAGAATGGTGGCAGAATTCTTTACAACACTCAATTTGATTATTTGTATTAACTTCTTTAATCAAAAAGAAATTTGATTGTTTTTCGTTGTCCCGTTTAATTGGCATCGTGCTGCATGTACGTGTACGTGTACGTGTACGTGTTCATTTCATATTGCATGATTGTTTTTCAACGGTGTATATTGATTCGAAGTTATTGCATTGTATGTGCACAAGTCTTTCATGTAATGTCTGTCGGAAGCTGTTCATAGCTGATAAAGAAGTTAGTATTATTATAAATTATGTCATACCTTACTAGTATTTTATGGTACAGTTTTGTTTCCTATTATTTACACCTCTAATGACTAGATGCTTGTGTAATGAAACTCGTGAAACTGTCCGCGCAATGTGAATGATTTGTTTGACGTAAAAGTTGCTGATTCAAAGCAATCTTTTGGGAAGCTTAAACTTTATTCGTACATACCATTAATATATTTCCGAGCTTTGGATATTTGTCACTGAAGGAAGAAAAACAATGATTATAATACTATAAATTATGTGGATTTCAACAAAAAGAGAGATTTCTGTACTTAGTTCCACTGTTTATCATTTATTTTAATTTTGTATCTGAATGATTTTGTATATTCCCAATCGCCATAGATGTACGAATGTACGAGCTCTACTCATAATTTTTCTAATAATTTCTTGAAATTAGAAGTATTTGTCAATAGTTGCTTTATCTTAATTTTCCGTCGTTTTTTTGGTCAAAATTTAATCATCTAGACTAGAATTTTAATAGTCGATAAAATGTCTGGTCTAGACGATGCTGTCTTGTAATGACAATATTCTACTATGTAATTGCAGGCCATTCAAGATTATTCCCGCTCCATTATAATTCTATAGCTTGCAAAATAAGCCCAGGGCAATATAAATATATTTATGTAATAATTTTGGAAAACATCAGAAAATCTGTTTATTTTTACTGAAATTACACAATAACTTACTAAAAATAATGACAGTCCAATATATACCAAAGCGGTAAAAAATATAGAAAAAATGGAAATAACTTACAAATATTCCTTGGAAAGACACATTGGTCGTCTAGTTGGGGCTATTTAAGGCTACCAAAAGGAATTACGACGTTGTCAAGGATTTTTAACGTCATAATGTTAACAGCCAATTTTCTGAGTGTTTGGATATCATGTACTTAAAAAAGATATTACAAATGAATACGACTTTGAAAGTGCTGACATTGGGTTAAATGCTTTTAAATTTGTTTAACACTTAATTATTTGAGGACACTTAAAGAAAAAACTGGTATCGAGCTATAAACACCAAATCCAAACGAATAACCGATTTCATTTCAATCTATATACATAGTCATGTTAACCCCTTTCAGATTAAGATCCTAGTCCTTTGAATTAGAAAACCCATGCGTGAAAAAGACCAAATTGAAAACATCATCAAGAAACACATAAAACATGTATTATATTATGTCTCTGGTTCTTTATAATTGTTATTATAAAGAAAACATTAAAATTTGAACGTCATTTTAATTGTTATTATAAAGAAAACATTAAAATTTGAACGTCATTTTAATTCAGGTTAGCAAGGACTTGTATATCTCACTATACGAATCCTTGGAGGTCAGATCATAGTAAAGTAGTCGATCACACTAGAAGTAATCTCAGCTATTTAGTGAGTTCCTAAATGTAGTACATTGGTTATTCGTTTTGCTCAATCGTCTCCCATCAACTTCGGCCTAATGACCCCCTCCCAAACTGGCTTCAGGTATGAGATCTTCGGGACCCTGAAATTCACTCAAGACTTGGACCCCTACTCTTACCTACATCTGTAAGATTATTGGCCATCGCGTAGCAGCCTTTTCATTATACGGATTAGCAGAAGAGATTGCTTCATCATCCTTGATAGATATATTGATGCAAGGATCTATATAACTAAAATATACGGCCTTGATTGAAATAAAATATATGTGTCTAATAAAGAATGTAATGATGCAATTATATACCAAATATCAAATCAACATTTGCAAAGAGACTAACAGCAATGGAGAAAACTATTTTCATGAAAATAGATAGACACAGCAGAGACATATAATAACAAGACCGGATGGACGGACACCCGTTATTTGTATGTCCCTCGCAATGCGTTGCGCGAGTGACAATAATTCTAGCGAATTATATTGTTTGACATGAACATTAGAGAACATTTGTATCTGTACAACAATAAGTGATCAAAACTGTATCAGTGGATAGCATAAACTGAAATTCAGTGTTTGTTTGTTTTACCATTTTCTGCAGGCTTGATAAAAAATGAAACTTAAAGTTTAAACACACAATGCAATTGCCTTAAAAATATAACAAATCTTTCTGTACTCATAGCAAATTGTGTGGTGTAAACACAGCCGTATTTGTCAACTCCTTTTGATGAACCTTCAAATAATAATAAAAGTAGTTATTTTGTGCAAATATAATAAATATTTCCCTATTAGATGTGCTCCAGATACAGTATCCCAAAAGGATACAGCAAGAACCTATGAATTGTATGTACGTCTTTCAACCAAAATTATGAATTTTCTTAAAAGAAATATGTAGGTTTGTGGTCAATGGCTACAGTGCTGAAGGTCCCAGGTTCAATCCTGACACAGGGGACTGGAAATTTCAGTACATTAGACAAGCACATCTCTAGTACCCATGCCAGAGTTTAAAATAAAATGGGTACTTTGGGACCTCTGTTGGTCAAAATGACCTGGAGATCAATCTTCAGATCTCTTTGGTTTGTCTGTTCCTGCCGAGCAGCTGGTATAGAATAGAATACAAAATGTTGTTAGAAGATGGGTTTACATGAACATGAGACATATAATGTATGTCTCTGGACACAGCTTTACTTAAATTAGATTAAAAGTAAGTCAACTCGAAAAAATGTTCACACTACAATGTCTTGCTCACTGCAGTATTGAAATCTTTGTTTAAAACATTGAAATCTCAACCAGAAGTCAACTGACTTCAACATTTCACATGTTGAATACTTCAACCTATCATTTATAATTTCTAAGCAGCACACTTCGTCACACACTTAAATGACAACTGGAAATGATGTTAAGACTTTATGAAAAATCTCGGGTGATCTTTCTGATGTACTTAGATGACAACTGGTAATGATGTTAAAACCATATGACAAATCTCTGATGATCCTTCTGATGTACTTAAATGACAACTGGAAATGATGTTAAAACCATATGACAAATCTCTGATGATCTTTCTGATGTATATTGATAATATAATAGCCTGTAAAGTGTAAAATAACAATGATAACAACACATTGTTGTCCTAATGAACATAAATGCTGACAACTTTAAAAATCATGTTAACCAGTGATAGCAGGTCCCTCTCAGAACACAAACAATACCTCAATTTGGATCTGAAAAGGTCTATACTCCTCCACATATTAATACTGTTTATCCCTAATGTACAGTTCTCACATTAAACGGTATCAACTTTACTGCACCAGTTTTCCACGTTGGTAACTAATTTCTCTTCGGTGATTCTCAAAGCCAAATTATAATATGAAAACCAAAATCGAATAGAAATGTTAGAGTTGATAAATTGTAAAGGGTAAAAAATAATGCCAAACCTTGTCAAGGAATCAGAGCAGTATGCATGAAGAAGATACTTTCTCAATTTCACAGATATTTCAAGTTTTACAACAGCAAATTTGAATAAACAACATCGGAAATTTTGGGCATGCCAGTACCAAAATACTGAGGTACTTGGCTTATGACATCCTAGAGGACTATCAGTCCAGCAAAAGTATCACCCAGTGGTAGAAATCATATTAAACCAAAAATGTTACTGCGCAAGATATTTATTCCAACAATAATGTCTCTTTGGTGATGCTTGCAGATAAAATATTTGAAAACCAAAACTAATAGAAACATTGAGGAGCTTATAAAATCGAAAAGGAACAAAAATATTGCCAAATCTGATTACTGAGGAACAGACTAGAGCCTGACAACTTACCTTGGCCATTGAAGTGTCAAATTGAGGTTAATGCTGCTCTATGACGTCAGACACACATTTATTCATTGCAACCGATCTACACATAAAACATTATTCACAGGACATGAAAAGTTAATTTGACACCGACCTCATCTTGAAAGCAACTCCATGCCTTTGATGGTCCTTTTGATTGGGTTGACAGTTTGACTTTTCCACTCTTTAAACTACACTTCCACACAATCTTATCAAACAAAAGTTTTCTATTTAATTAAATGGTAATTTAACTGCCAGTACTCTCAGATCTATACTTAGTGTCTTTTTTATTGTTAGGGATGAGGGATGGACCCTGGCACATCCCGTCTGTTTTTGTTTGTATCGATCTGATGAGTTTTTCAACTGATTTTTATAGTTTGTTCTTATGTTGTGCTGTTACATCACGGTCCAAGTTTAGGGGGAGGGTTAAGCGCTCACAAACATGATTAACCACGCCCATTCTTTATGTGCCTGTCCCAAGTCAGGAGCCTGTAGTTCAGTGGTTGTCGTTGTTTCATGTCTGTCATATTTGTTTTTCGTAAATTGTTTTGTTATAAATTAGGCCGTTAATTCTCTCAATTGAATTATTTCATATTTTTCATGTCAAGGCCTTTTATAACTGACTATACGGTATGGGTTTTTCTCATTGTTGAAGGCCGTACGGCTGTCTATAATTGCTAACATCCACTTCGTTTGATCTTTGGTGGATAGTTGTCTCATTGGCAACCACACAACATCTTACTTTTATATTTTAAAAATCTAATTTCAAATTTATTTGCTGCAACACATATAAAGTCCTTTTCTCTAATGAGAAAGGTAAATATGCTAGATATAATAACTTGATGTGTGATGAGATGATTAAAGCTGTCAATTTTCTCCTTGACAACATTAATGTACGTTTCTGCAATAAAGTTTATCAACAGGTTGTAGGTATTCCTATGGGCACCAATTCTGCCACTATAATAGCAGACTTGTTCCTGTACTTCTATGAATCACAGTTTATGGCCAAATTCCATTTAACTGATAAATTCATCAACACATACCATTATCTTGATGATATTTTTTTTCGTTAAATAATAAAGAATTCTCTAAATATACTTTTAAATTTACTCTAAGGAACAAATTATAAACAAATCAAACATTAACAGCAATAACTGTCCTTTCCTAGATCTACATATTTCAGTTTTACAAGAGAAACTCTACAGAAAAATTTCTGACAAAAGGGACGATTTTTCTTTCCTTTTTTAGACAGTGATGTTCCTTTGGCACCATCCTAGTGTTTATATATCCAAACTTGGTTGCTATGCCCATGTCTGTAATATATGTATTAGTGGTAAATTAAATTAAAATTAAGTCAGGGATTTCATTACCACAAGTTACTTAAAACCTTTACTAAATTCCTTCATAGATACAAAGATTTGGTATGGAAGTTTGGCTGTACTTGTAGAAACTTCTTTCAAACTAATAGCACATCCTAATTTTTACGGTAATGTTGTTTACCAAGCCCAGCAATTAAGATACAATCCGGGTAAACTTAGCAATCCTTTAAATAAACTTATTCTAAAAGATCACAAATTCAACACTGTAATAAGATCTTTGAATATTGTATTTATTGGTATAAATATTGATTTGGTTATCAATAAATCAAAACCATACATAATATTATTGTTATACACACATGCGCATACACAGTTCTACAACCTGTTGATACCTATATTTTGGCATTGCACAAGGTAATGTCTTTCCAAAAAGCCATTGAGTGTTGAATGTGTACTTATTGATATTTTAGTCTAAGATGCATGATTTTTTATAAGTTGTTATTGGCTTTGAACTAGTTGTCAGTAACTGAGAGTACTCTCCGATCTGCACTTTGTGTCTTTTTAATTGTGAGGGATGTATAAATTCCATGCCATGTCCTGTCTTTGTTTTGGTTAGATGTTTTTCTGCTTTGTATCGATCTGATGAGTTTAGCCCTTTTCAACTGATTTTTATAGTTTGTTCTTATGTTGTACTGTTACACCACGGTTCCAGGTCAGGGGGAGGGTTTGCACCTTCAAACCTGTTTAGCCTCGCCATATTCGTTGTGTGTCTATCCCAAGCCAGGAGCC